GCACCTGCCACGGCTCCTGCCTGGCCACTGAGCCCCGTCGTGCCCCTTTGACACCCCAGAGCAGCCTGGCTCTTAGGAGTGGTGGGGGCCCAGAGCCCTAGGGCTGCTCCAGGCTGAGTGAGGTGAATTGGCCCTGATGCCCGGCTTTGGAGAGTCCCAAGTGGGCCCCACATGGGGTAAGATGCTCTTCCCTGGGCAGCACCACCCCTCCCTGCTCTGCCCTGTGGCGTCCTCTCATGAGAGCCCCACAGCCCCGGCCAGCAGCATCCTCTGCCGAGCTCTGCCCCCCGCCCCCACCGGCTCAGCGCAGTCGCTCTGCCTTGCAGGAGAGGCTCCAACGCCGGCTTTGGAGAGTCCCAAGTGGGCCCCACATGGGGTAAGATGCTCTTCCCTGGGCAGCACCACCCCTCCCTGCTCTGCCCTGTGGCGTCCTCTCATGAGAGCCCCACAGCCCCGGCCAGCAGCATCCTCTGCCGAGCTCTGCCCCCCGCCCCCACCGGCTCAGCGCAGTCGCTCTGCCTTGCAGGAGAGGCTCCAACGTGTCCCTGGTGCTGGACATGAGCTCGCTGGCGAGCGTGGAGCCCATCCGCTCGGTCTGCACCCCCCGGGACATCACGCTGCGCTACCTGCAGACGTCCAGGCGGGGAGCAAAGAGCCTGGAGCTGCTGCAGGAGGAGTTCTCGGTGAGATCCCGCTCTGCCCCTCCTCCCAGCCCTCCCGAGGGCATCCTTAGCCTGGCCTTCCGTCCCTGCCCGGGGAGGGTGCCAGCTCTCCCCTGCCTGGGGCCCATGGTGACTGGGCATCCCCCCTGCACAGGAGTGGCACCGCCAGCCGCCTGGCAGCTCGTCAGGGCCATGCCATGGGCGGTGGGGGCTCAGCTCTCCTCGGCGGCGTGCCTGGATCATAGTAGGCACAGAAAGGGCTCCCTCCCGGGCCAGGCTGGGCCAGGGGTCTCCGTGCCTGGGGCAGAGGGAGCCGGCCTGGTGGCCCAGTCTTGTGCTCAGCTAGGAAGGGCCCTTCCGTACCTTGGGCAGGAGCAAGCTGCCCGTCTTGCAACTGTGGCAGGAGGGGCCAGAAAGCAGCTCCCCCCAGCATC